CTAAAAAAGTGAGACGCTCAGATGAAGGTTCATCAACCCCGAGTGTCCCTCCTGGTGTACAAAAAAATAACTCTCTGGCAGAGGATCAGACACTGCCTCAAGCAAGGACTGAACTATTTCAATAAAACAAGGGCATGCTTTTACTTTGATCTCGCTAGATCTTACTGTGTGCCTATTCATCTTTTTAGTCTTTGTTTTTGAATTGGTCTTCGTCTTCTGTCCTTAATATTAAAAGTCATTGGAGATTACTTTCTTTCAGAGTACCAGTTTACTTATTTTTCCTTGAATCTCATCTTTTTTTACTCTTTTAATTTCCCTTATTCTTTAGTTCATGGCAGAAACACACTCGGTTGCAGCAGGTTTTGAGGTTGGTGATAGGTTTTTACCCATCATCTCTGAGAAGCAGAAATGAAGCTCCATTTACACATTTAGCTGACGCTTTTATCCAAAGCGACTTAGAATTGCTATATATGTCAGAGGTTGCACGCCTCTGGAGCAACTAGGGGTTAAGTGTCTTGCTCAGGGACACATTGGTGTCTTACAGTGGATTCGAACCTTGGTCTCTCACACCAAAGCCATGCGTCTCATCCACTGTGCAGTGGTGATGGTGCAGCTCCGCTTTAAAGCAAGATGCTTGTCATCATAATTTAAATATAACACAATTTTTAAATGGAGGTTCTGAGAAAGGTTGTGATGGTATTTTAAATTTCTTTACAAAGCTCGAATCCTAAGCATTACGTGTAAAACAAGCAAAGTCAAAATTGGCTTATTAGACAACAGTTAGTTAGTCATTGAATCTGATTTTGTCTGTTTTTTCCACTGCTTGTATCACTTGGTTTGTCTGTGTTCACTGTGTCTCAGGCTGTCAGTCTGTGTGTGTTGCTTGGCAACACATAACGGTTGATCATGCTTTGGGTTCTTTTGAAACTATTTTCAAAGGGGAAAAAATAGCTGGCCATATTTTGCCTAAAATGCAAGTTACTCAAAAATGAATAATCTGTTGTTACTTAGCCTATTCTAATGTATTTTCCAAAGCCTTATTATGTTATGGTATATAACACTCCAAAAATGACAAGAAATCATAATCAAAATATTGTATTTGCCTTGTGATCACTGCACAATAGCTTTGTGTGAGGAACAGGAACATTGTTGCATTCGGACCATTTTATGGTCCAATGCCTTCCACAGATGATATACTGTAGGCTATATACAAAAACATTTAGACCAATTTAGGCAGATTGAGAGAAAATGGAAAAAGAGTAAACTACAAGTCCATTATGATGCTCTTAGACATTCTTTATTGTATAAGCAAGGCTAAAAATACCTACTTCTCAAATATTATTAGGGCCAAAATTAATAACCCGAAAATCTTATTTTCCATTATTAACTCTGTAATTCAACCTTTGATTAATATACACCAAAAGTCCTCAATTATTTTCTGTGAGGACTTTCTGAATTTATCCAAAAGATTGCTGGTCAATGCTTGCAGATCCCTTTGGTGGCAACTGATCCATGATGGATTGACTATCCTGCCTGCATTGCTGAGTGGAGGGTTTTTGAACCTATTACATTGAAAGTTCTGGAGCATCATGTTGTGCAAATGATCTGCCGAGTCACTTGTTAAAGCAGACCTTTGACTGTTTATGGCTGAGTATGGCACATTTGTTTAATAAGAGCTTGTCCAGTGCATGGGACATATCCACAAGAGTTTAAATATGCTGTGGTGACACCCCGGCTGAAGCGTCCAAATTTGGTTTCGTTAAAAACTGGGTGAGGGCAAAGAAATACGAATCAATTACACCTGTTCTAGCGTCCCTAAATTGCCTTCCAGTCCTTCTAGAAAGTATTATCCTGTGATAAAATCAGTGGATCTTGAAATACAATGTAAATACACAAACCAAGGACTGGTCTACCACACTCAGGCGATAGTGTTTCCATGACAACTCAGGAGGACCATGAATGCAGAGACGAGCCAGTGCTTTCTCTGGTCATCTGTTACTGTATCCAACACATGCATGCATATATAAAGTCAAGGCCCATTTGTGCGCTTTCAGATGGGGTCAGTTGAAAACAGAGAAAAGGGAAGTCACAAGATTTTCTAGCACTATACACATCTATGACAGCAAGATCTCATAGAATCTGTATCATGTATCACTATTCAAAGCACATTACTTTAATACAATGTCTCACAATTCACTTGCTGACAGCATTTAATTGAATATTTGCTGATTAATTGAATGTTTTCATGTGAGTGTCTAAAAAGTTGGGATTGTCTTGTTACTCTTTTCTTCTGTTATTCTGATTTAGGTAAGAAGACCACACGCTCCACACTATTGAGCCAGTTCTGTCTGCCAGGATCAGTGTTTTCCCGCACAGATTTGACCTACTTCCAAAGCTGCGTCCCACACGTCTTTGAGAGAGAGATAAGGAAGAGGAGAGATGTGATGAGAGCAAGAGAATCGTAGCTGTCTCTCAGTGGGAGTTCTGAAGGGTGTTCTGCTTTCCTCCACCATCAGCAAATATCTTCTCATGTATACATTTCAAATGGCAGCTATTAAAACAAGGAATAGGTCAATCAAAAAAATGGCATTATTCATTTGAATTTCATTTACAAAGCTGTTTGATGTTTTTCTTCCATTAAAAAACAAAACAAAAGGACTTATGGAAGTTTGTTTCCACCAATTGCAATTGTGACTTTTTCTCTTGCAATTGTGAGTTTACATCTCGCACTTCTGATTTTGTGTGACTTGCAATTTTGAGGCAGAAAAAGTCAGAATTGCCTGAAAAAAAGTCAGAATTGCAATTTTTTAATTGAAATTCTTACTTTATTTTTCGCAATTGCAAGCTTATATCCCGCAATTCTGAACTCGGAATTGTAAATTTTTATATCGCCCAAAATCAGAAATAAGAAATTTAAACTGGCAATTGTAAGAAAAAAAGTCAGAATTGTGTGATTAGAAAGTCGCAATTATATCTTAAAAAAGTTTTTTATTTCGTGACGGAAACAAGCTTCCATCCATTCTAGTCCATTGGCAAGCAGTCATTTGGGGTTATAGTTTTTTTATTTATAAATAATATTCCAAGCTGATCTCACGACCAAATCGTACGAAATCGACGCATGATTAAAAAGTGTCTAATTCGTACGACCTCACTCGTACGAATTAGTACGATTTTGCTAAATCGTACATATTTTACGAATTGGCCAATTCGTATGAATGACCTACCCCTTACCCCTAAACCTAACCATCACGTGGGTTTATACAAATCGTACAAATTCGTACGAGTGAGGTCGTACGAATTAGACACTTTTTAATCATGCGTCGAATTCGTACGAATTGGTCGTGAGATAGCGTAGAATATTCTCTAAAACCATGTTTGATGTAATTGACACTAAAAATCAGTTTTCCATACCTAATTGCACTTGCCAACTTTAAATATGCACATACTCAAAATATATATATAGGCCTTTATATATATATATTTGTCATTTTTGAACAGCCCTTGTCACCTTTCTCTTTCATTATATGGAAAGTGCCATCAGAAAATGCTGCCTAACATCATCTTTTGTGTTCCAGTGATGAGGGTGAGTAAATGATGAAAGATTATTGCTTTAAATGGCAGATTTTCTTTTTTTTTTAAATCAGCTGACATTAAAGTGCTTGGTGACTAATATGCCATAACATTAAAGCATGTGTGATATTTTCTTTGATGGGAAGTAATTATCTAAATGCCGAAAACTTAAATTGTTTAATCCAATTATGCGTGGGCAACAGTGTGAGTATTTCATCACACACTTCGTTCCTCCTCTGGCAGGGGGCCACTGCAGATACACTCATACTGAGCATGAGATCATGGATAAGTCTGTCAGAAGGCAGGATTCCACAAACAGATATCTTCTTGGTTATATTTAGTGTTGGGTTACAGGATTCATCCATTCTCATACCCCGACTTTCCCCATCCATGCCCTCAACCTCACTTTGGCACGATGGAAATTTCCTTGGAGAGATTTGGTAAACACACCGCAACCCAGTTAGTATGCAGCACCACGAAACCTCCCCGACTCACGCTGTTTGATATCAAACATTCTGTGAGTCTCAGTAGAAACACTTCATCTTTACAGAGCTGACACAGATATCGAGAGAAGTTTCAAACTTAACTTTAGTTTTATTTTATTTTCAGTATAGCTTCACCATAAAAATGTCTGTTTTACAGGATGTATGTGCTATTAAAACATAAAACATGATTTCCCCCACGTTTCCCCCAACAAATGCTTAAAAAGGATTGCACTTGTTTGATAAGCCATATCAAATTAAATGTTCTTTCCTTTCAGAACTCTCAGTTTAAGTCAGAGGTTTTGCTAGTGATGGGATGGAAGCGTGTCTGAAGCTTGTATCAGGTATCTGGGTTTACGGCACAGGGCAGAGCACTTGCTGTCATTGCTATTAATAGCCCGGCGAGAGAGCGAGATATTCAAAAGCATTCTAACCCCAGGAGCCAATGATACAGTATAGGAGCTCCTCTCTGTGAAACTGCTGACAGGACAAGTAAGTGCGACAAGGAAAAGCCATGACCCACTTATTGAATGTCTGTTTTAATACCAGACTTTATGAAGATAAATCTCCTTTACAGACTATAAACTACCTAGAAAAACACACCATCATTTGTTAAAAAAAAGATTTGCCATATACCCACCCTGACCTTGCACTGTAAAAAATGATCTGATGAAAAAGTTATGATAACTTATACATGTCATTCAATCAGACATAAAATAATGTGTCATGAAATTTCAACTCAGTTGTTTGAGTTTTCAATCTTCCAATTTAGTTTCATAAGTTACTTCAATGAATCACAAATTCCAGGTGCCTGAATGAACTTATCATTTTAATTTGAGTGGGCTACAAGTCTTTGCGCATGTGTGGGGGTGGGGGAAGGGACTACCGACGAAGCCACGAGACGAACTTTACGCGCCGAGCAATCAAACTTCAACAACCAACCACCAGGTTCCTCATTTCTGTCAGACAAGACGACGAATCGGTTGGAGTGAACAAGTGCATTATTGGTAAGTGTTCGTGTTTTTTATTTATTAAGAATATGTGTTGATGAAGCCAATAACATTAGATACCTTTTAATATGTAAAAACTGCGATGTCATTTAAGCGAGGCACATTTCAGCGACGGTAGAACACGTTTGCTAGCAGTTCAGTATTTTCGTTTAGTCAGAGACGGTTGATAGTTTTATCTGAGACAATAAACGTTACCAGTTTTCATTGTAAACTTCGTAAAACGTTGTAGAAAATGCCATTTCTGATATAAGTTAACGTATGTCAAGGCCAAACACACCGTTCAAAAGTTTGGGGTCAGTTAGTTTTTAAAAGAAGCATCTGCTCACCAAGGCCGCATATATTTGATTAAAAATACCAACACAAACAGTGATATTGTGAAATATTATTCCAATTTACCGCTATTTTCAATTTAAATACATTTTAAAATTTGTTCCTGTGGTCAAACAAGCTTTAGATTTCAGAACCTAGATCTTTTAGATTTTTTGAACAACTTTGATAATAATAAAAGAATATTTCTTGAGCATCAAATCGTCATATTATACTGATTTCTGAAGGAGGTTAGTGCTGGGTGGTATACCGGTTCATACTGAAAGCCGGTGTATATTTTTATGATATTCATTTTTTAATAAACCGCCATACCGATGTATTTATTTACACAACTTTCGGAACCTACGTTGCCCTGCGCGACACTATTTCAGAAGGACCCTTTATCAATGTTGCATTTCTGAGCAGCGACGGTGAGGAGGGGGTAAATCAAAAATCTGTGCTCTGGTAACTGTCTACGGTGTTACGTTACAGGTAAGGGGGATGCTGCAGAACTATGGCGTTATTTTCCTGTTAAATGTCGAGAGAGCACTATTTTAGCGCGAAAGTAAATTAATATAATGCGCGAATCTGTCTGCTTGCACGTGGAATATCGCGCCCATGCTCTCAGATAGGCTACACGCTGCTCTGGTTAGAATGTCAGTTTTCTCTGGGCTCGCTTAAAGAATCCTGCACTTAAAACGTGTTCAGTGCAATCGCGAATCTCTCCTCTTCCCCAGATAACAATTTTAGGGTTCGTAACGTTCCCATTAAGTTATTAAAACGTTTTTTCTGAATGTTCTAAGAATATTCAAAACGTCTATTTTTTAAAACATTGTATTAACTATATTTCTTGGTTGTTATAACGTTCAATATAAACGTTGTATTAACGTTCTTGCTTGGTTATACGATTAGGTTGTACTGGGTGCTATTCTATTCTACAATATTAAATAATGACTGTAAAATAAGACAATTTATTGCAGTAATTCCCTTGAAAATCCTTTGAAAACCAGATTATGCATGGAAAAAAGTCATAAACTGGAAAACTGGCTTCATTTTGAGAGAAAAAAACAACAAAAAACGTGATCTTAATTTTGTCAAACCGCCATGTGACACTGAAGACTAATGATGCACAAAATTCAGCTCTGATCACAGGAATAAATTACTGTTTAAAATATATTGAAATAGAAAACAGCTGTTTTAAATTGGAATAATATTTCACAGTATTACTGTTTTGTTTGTATTTTTAATCAAATAAATGCAGCCTTTGGTGAGCAGAAGATAATTCTTTTAAAAACCTAAAAAAATTTACTGACCCCAAACCTTTGAATGGTTGTGTATGTTCATGGCCAGTGCTGCAAAATAATTTTAGATTATTAGCAGCCGCTCGTTTGCTGCAAGCTCATTATTGTTTCTTATTACAGAACATTGTTTGTGCTAGCTAGTGGTAAAGAGCAATGCAACAATTCATACATCCAATTTGTTAGACTTGACTAGAAATGTGCTATTGTTCATTTTTGCAATTCACATCACTTAGCAGCTAAAACTGTTCTTCTGTTTTGTGTGTTTCAGGTGTTTTATGAATTCACAGGCTCAGCTACTCATTTGATGAAGTGGACTTGTAAGTTTTGCAATTTTGCCTCGTACATTCAAAAGACTATAGTGAATCATTACAAGGAAAAGCATGGACGTGGAAGAACAGGTTTTAGTTGTATTTACCCAAATTGTCTTACCGTCTTTCAATCCCATGTGGAACTTTTAAAACATTTGACGGAACACAAACAAGGAACCAGTCCTGTTGTTAAACTTCGTTGTGAACTTTGTACTTTTTCAGCGCCAAGCAATATCAAACATTATTTTCTTCATTTAAAGAGACATTTGATAAAAAGAGAGACTGTGAATTGCCCATTTGTGGGGTGCTGTTTTACATCTAGAGTAGCCTCGACCTTTACTGCTCACAGAAGCCGATATCATCAGTCTTCTACATTCAATAATTTCAAACCTGAACTTGATGTGCGGGTACATCATACACGCACATCATACCTGTTTATTACTGCATACATACCTGCCTATATAATACTAACTACCTACACTTTGCTTTTGTTTCTGTGAAGCCTAATATTTTGTCTTAGTATGTGTCCTTTCTGCTTGTGTAATCTGCAGGTGGAAGTGCTGAAAAAAGACCTAGATCACCAGCAGATAGATAACCTGATGTCTGACACGTTCTCCAAGCGCAGAAAGGAGATCGTAGGGGATCAACCTCTCATTGGGGATGTCATGGCTAGATGGCCGGCCATGTTCTGTGAGAGACAGGTATAACAATAGAAAACACTCAGCCTAAGATTAATCACTTAATCCAATGACTGGATATCAATGTATGAGCTTCTCTCCAGGAAGTAAAAGGGCAATTTCAGCTTTTTTTTTTTTGTCCGAAAGGTGGCATGAATGAACATACAGATAAGTGAGAGGATTGTGTTTAGTATTACTGAGTGGATGACAGTCTTTGACAACAAGACAACCTTAGCTTACTAAATTTTGACTTTTAATTTTTTTCCCTGTAATTTCTTAACTTTTTTTGTCTCCTCAGGTTCGGGCAGAGTTCAAAAGAGTCGTAAGCACAGACCTTCTCGAATCATTTCTCGACGGACTTGATGACCTGGCACCAAGACTGCTGGAAGTGTACGAAGCTGCGACAAAGTCGGCAAAGAAGCCTGCACTGAAAGCCATTTTGGACTGTCTGAAGAAAGACGTGAGTAGACCAGCTGAGAATTGTAAAATTGGGCACCAAATGTTTGCAATAAAATCTCACTGCTTAGTGTTTTTTATTGTAGGACACAAACGAAAGGAGAAGGACTGCTGCTCTGCTGGGTCTGCCACACTACCTAAGAGAAGAGCCATCAGACATCATCAGGATGTGTGATGTAAGACATTTTTCTGTCATCCATAACAGCCCATATACGAACCCACCCACCTACATATAAACTTACACACACACACACCCTTTAACACAGAGATTGGATTAGATGCACTCATAGGTGTTGGTAAAGTCCTGGGACAGCAAAATAGTGATGATGCAGGGAGAAAGGAGGGGTAGAATAGTGATGGGCAGAGGACCAAATGCAACATACACTTCCCCAGATCTGAGAGGACACTGAAGTTTTCACCCTGGCAGTAACCTTCCAACATTGCACCTATAAACATGCACACTCACAACTGAAAGCCCAAGAAGACTATTTTATTTGCCTGAAAACAAGGTTTATGATCACTGAGACTTGAGTAGCTTTGCAGAGCATGTACATCTTGACCCAAACATTCACAGTATTTTTTTTCTGCTTTTCAAGGCCCATGGTGAGACTCTTGCTGAAGCCATGGAGGGGATGCAACTTGGCCTGTTGATAGGCTACGAAGGTGACAACCAGGATGCCTTTCCACATGAGATCTTCAATGTGGCTGTTGTGGTTGAGGAGACTGTTGTGCTTCACAACTTCAAGGATGTGCCATCGAGCTTTGCCATGCTTTTGGGGATTATCTACTGTGTGAACCTTGAGTATCCACAAGCCATGAAGTATTCTTTTGAATTCCTTCAGAGGGTAGTGATGAAGATCAAACCAGATCAAGCTTCTGCCAGAGTCCACGGCATTCGAAACAAGCTCCTGAGGTATAATTTGTAAACAATGCTACACCTGAGAATGGTTTGGAATTCTTTTCTTTTTTTCTTCTTTTTCCATTTGTTTCTGTTGAAATGCAAGCCAAAGTTGAAGGCAAAAGCAAGCAAACAGGAGAGGAGCCCTGTTTTTTGTTTTTGTTGTTTTTTTTGGACTTGATCCATTTGCTTTTGTTGGACTGAATACATTTAATGCTGAATATTGTTCAAATAATATACTAAGTATACTGTATTCAGGATTCAAATATTTGAAAACAACCAGCTGAAGTTGGCAGTCTGAAGTTTTAGTTTGTTTGTGTTTGGGGTTCAGGACCGCTTTTGGTATAATTCAGCTGGATCTGTGAGATTGTTAAAGGATTGGTTCACTTAAAAAAAAAAAAACTTTTGGTGATAATTTACTCAACCCCATGTCATCCAAGGTGTCCTTGTCTTTCTTTCTTTAGCCGAAAATAAATGAAGACATAGACATCTTAGATGACATGGGGGTGAGTAAATTATCAGCAAAAGTTTTTTTTTTTTTAAAGTGAACTAGAAAAAAGGTTTATTTAAATGGATGCTCCACTTTTTTTGGAAATAGGCTCATTTTACAACTCCCCCAGAGTTAAACAGTTGAGTTTCACCGTTTTCGAATCCATTCAGATGATTTTCTGATATTTAGAAGAATATCAGTAACCAGACATTTCCTGGTCTCATTGACTTCCATAGTAGGAAAAAAATATACTATGGAAGTCAATGAGACCAGAAACTGTCTGGTTACTGATATTCTTCTAAAAATCAGAAAATTGGCTGAATGGATTCAAAAACGGTAAAACTCAACTGTTTAACTCTGGGGGAGTTGTAAAATGAGCCTATTTCCAAAAAAAGTGGAGTATCCCTTCAAATGTTAACATTCAAAACCTGTTCAGTGTTGTGTAAGGAAAAAAAGCTAATGCTTTCAAAGTAATGTATTTTCTATTGGGTGACTATAAATAGTGTTTAGTACATCTTTGGGTGACCTAATGGGGATATGACAAGCAGAGGTTTGTGCTCGCACTTGTAGAAGATGATCTTCTATTTATCTTAGCCTCATGTTACCCACACCCAACTGAAATTTGGTACCTAAAAAGTTGTTGATTGCATATTGAAAATGTTTGAGATGAAGTGTTTGTATAGCTTTTATTGGCTTAACATTGGTTTTAATAAAAAAAAATGTTTTGTACTCAAATTTGTGTGTTTTATATTAATTGTTAAGTTAAAACAATGCATTCTTTTAGATTATCTTAACTTGATACCCTAATTCAAATAAATTACTTAATTGAAATTACTAAGTTCAACCCAATAATGGGGATAAGTGAACAGAATGCTCATTAATGAGTTCACTTTATTTTGAACTTGCATAGCAAAGTTGAAATAACAATAAATGTTAAGTCATGTTGACTCGCAGAAGGCAATTCACAGCTTAACAAGAATCAAAATAATGAGTTAAAACAATTTATTAATCCATTTTGTTTTTACTTGAAATTTTGAGGCAGCTGCTTAACTTATGATTTTAAGTAGAACCAAGTAGATATTTTTTACAGTGTGTGTACGGCTTCTGAAAATTCAGCTTTTCCCATCACAGGAATAAATTACATTTTATGATATATATATATATATAAATATAAAACTAATTTTAAATGGTGGTATATTTCATTTTTACTGTATTTTTAATAATAAATGGTTGGTTATCATAAAAGGCATCCTTGAGACATTTTATATGGTGTCCATATTTAAATAATACCTAAAAGACAGTAATCCTCTCACATTTGGTGCTGCCTAGTCGAGTCTGGTAGCTTCTGCCCGTTGAGATTAACCTCATTTGTACCCTTCCTGTGTTTTCCAAGTAACCTTCACAAAAGGCTGTGCACAGAGATCGCAGTATGTCTGTCTGTTGGGCGTTCACTGCTCTGACATGTCTATTGTACTTACGCATAAGACACACACACATGTGCGCATCATTTCAACCAGCTGCAGACACACACTTGATCTGACAGCACAGAGCAGCACGACACCCTCAGTTTCCCCTGCACCACTCAGACACACCCATATAAACATGCAATAAACAAAAGAGAAATCCCCACATATCCTTCTCAAAAACATCTTGTATACAGCAAATTCACATTTTTAGTAACCTGGTGGTTACCTGTTGAAACGATATGTTGCCTACGATTGCTTGCCTGTATATCTGTCACTATAGGGGAGGTTTGTTGTCAGTCTCGTACACTCACACATAAGCTAAACAAGACTTTGGCTTTCGGTCACTGTTGATTCTGGATTGTTGTGTAACACAAATTCTCCTGCAAGGGTTTTCTGTCTGTCTGCATTCGAATGCAGCGCCTCTTCGCACAAAATTGCATGTGAAAGTAGAAGGTAAGTGCCTGTGAGAGTACATTTGGGGTAAGAAAAGACCTGGACTGGACATTTTCAAGGATAATGGTCTTTCTGTTATTACTAAAGACACACTGTGGATCATCACAAGCAGATTATTAAATTAGTGGCTGTAATTAAATGTAAATGGGATCCTTAGGTCACCAGTCTGGCAGAATCTTTTGGGGAATGTCTAGGTGTCCTCAAATATCCTTTATATCCTTCAGTACTGACAGTGTGAACGGTCAATTTCCATTTTTTTCGTTTAAAATAACACTAGCACTTTTTTAACAAAATATCACTTTTTGTTTCAGATTAGAAATATATTGTTGGCTGAGCCTACCCCATCTCACGACCAATTCGTACGAATTTGACAAATCATTAAAAAGTGTCTAATTCGTACGACCTCACTTGTACGAATTCGTACGATTTGTCTAAACCCACGTGATGGGTAGGTTTAGGGGCGGGGTAAGGGGTAGGTCATTCGTATTCATACAAATTGGCCAATTCGTAAAATATGTACGATTTAGCAAAATTGTACTAATTCGTACGAGTGAGGTTGTATGAATTCGTACAAATTAGCCACTTTTTAATCATTCGTCGAATTCGTACGACTTCGGGTCAGCTGAGCTGTACTACCTTTGCATGTTTATGCTGATAATATAATTTTTAATGAAAAAGACATTCTTTAATCAAATTGCAATTAAACTATCATTCATAAGATTGGGATTGGTCCATTTTTTTTAATTTTACTTCTTTGATAAAAAAACGGTAAAACAACACACAGTAAAATCCCCAGCGTTAAATTAAAACTGCTCAGGGTTTACATTGGAACAACCAGCAGTAACACTTTACTGAAGCAAAGTTAATTAGATAATTAAGTGATTAATTGAGTGCTGATTGAGCATTTTTGAAGACATCTAATGATAAAAAGCAGAATCCCTGAAGAAAAGAGAACAATAATAAAGTCACCATTATGGTGATCTGTGTTTGATTTAGTTGGTAGTTTGACTCTTGATTTTTTATTGTTATGTTAGTTTTCTCTGGCTGCTGTTGGCAAATAAAAAACAGAGAAAATGTGATAATGTTGGCTACTTATTAATGAAAAAGATGCAATCATTATGCAATACTAAATGGCAAATGGATTGCATTTATATAGCGCTTTCACAGACCCAATGGCCACCAAAGGGCTTTACATTTTGCCTCACTGTTTAAAAAGATAAAATAGTAGTAGCACTGTGACTACACATCTTGATATTAAACAGTGGTGCGATTATCTGTGAACAATATTACAAAGTTTTTTTTTTTTCTGAAACGCTGGGCACACAAATGAATCTCAACAATCAAAGTATCATAAACTTTTGTTGGTCACAAAGTGAAAACAGTTGTACTGCTAAATATTTATGTCTTTAGTGTTTTTTGAAAGAGTTGTTACAGCATAGCCATATAGGTATGTGGATGCATTTCCACTGACACATCCTTTTCTTCACTTCTATCACTTTATCTTGCTCTTTCACTGTATTTTACTCTCTCTTTTCTGTTTCCTGCTGTTTCTGTCCCCGGAGCCCCTGTGTGTGGAGAGGG